GGCTGTAGAACTTTCCAGAGATGTGAAAATAGTACGTACTATCACACCATGGAAACTGGGGTGCTCCTGTCAGCAATATCTCTGGGAAGATGGAACTGTTTTCCTTTGTCCAGGATATACCCTAATCTCAAAGTGAGGGTAGCTGGGGATTCTTGAGTCATTTACTTTTGAGCTCGTGGAAAAGAAGCGGTTGACCGCAACAGCTTACCCCAGTGAACAGGTTTTCCTCTTGCACAGCTGTGTTGGTATATTTCAATTAGGATCCTTGAGGCCTGACATCACCTCTGGTATGCCAGTCCTGAGGCTCCTGTGAGCCAATACTGCCAATCAAGCCAAAATCCAACTGCATCATGTGGTTTTATGATGTAGAGAGAAAATGACATGGAATCACCTCTTAATGCTGAAAATCTCAAGTTGGAAGCCAGCTCCCCTGAGAAGGAAAGTTAATCACAATATGACTGAAAGATCTAGATAATATTTTCCCATGATTATCTCAACACACTCAACCAATGGGTTATATGTGATGGTCAAGGGAGTCTCTTGATTTTAAGAAAGCAGAAATTTCTGGGATATCAGTCTGAAGAGATCACTTCTGGGCCACTCTATCAATCTGCAAGAAGGGAAAAAAAAAAGGTTGTATAGATTGAGGACAGAACAAAGTCATGTTTGAGATATCTTTGGGAGTTGGGTTCTGAGAATGACACCACTCCTTGTACATGAGCCATAGAAATATTAGGTATATGAGAGGTTAGCCAGACAAAGAACAGAGAATGGAGATTTAAAATCATGAAAAGATGGATACTTGAAACCTAAGGGTGGGGGGCAGGGTAGAGAGAAAAGACTTGGAGAACCGTTTCCTCTCTTGATTAAATCAGAAAGAGGAGGGAGTGAATCTTTCACATCCTAAGATCACTCCTGCAAGGAATACAAAGAAGTATCTGCATTTATATATGGCAAGACTAAGACACAAGGAAGAGCAAGTGAATTATTATATGGGCAGCTAAATACTTTAGTGACAGAGAAAGAGGTTGGAAACCTAAAAATCCGTTTTTTCATTGTCACTACAATAATGACCCTTTTTTCAGCTTCCGTTTCCACTGCCTTTTATGCATGTTTATATCTCTATATGCACGCACGCATGTGTTGGCCAGCTCTGGGTGATCCATAATGTCTTTCCTAGGGAAGAATGCCACTTGGCAACAGAATTCTTTTATGAGAACTAGAGACTCTTTCTTTGAGAGATAGAAAGCCACAGAACTAAGTCTTAAATTCCACCCTCCATATTGCACAAAAACAGTCATAGAAGTAAACAGAGGACAGAAGCTGGCCCTGAACAGACTCAGACACTTAAAAAGGCAGCCTGAGAAAATAAAAATCTAGCTGACCAAGTCTAGACAAGAAACTATAGAAAACACATTAAGAAAATAACTTTTTAAATAGATGCTATAGTATGTCCCATAGATGCATGTAAAGTATGCCGTGGGTATAGTTTAAACACAATATAAGCACGTGAATAGAAATAGATGGATTGATGAACAGTTACAGACAGGCAAACACACACACACTCACACAGAGTGAACCTTGCCACGTTCAGCTGTAAATAAGGAATTTAACATTCATTCCACAGGCTAATGGTGCTTATAGCCATCCAAGAAAGATCGACTTAGATAATAACGTAGTAGAGTGCCAGAGAGCCTGAAAGGAATGGGCTATTGTGTTTGACTAGTTTCCATGTATAAATTAGTGCAGAGAAGAAAAAGAAATTCAACAGAAAAACACATGTACTTTATTATAATTCCTAGTGTTACTCCTGCAACCCTCACAATAGCAGGCAAAAGAACTGAAAACCACTGAAAAGAGGTAAAAGGCAAATGCAGATTTGATTAAATGCCTTTCTGACAAGAAGTGGTTTGACTTCAAATTTGGATGAACGCACATGTCAATGGCTGGTCATGGTGTTAGCCCACATTCTCTTCGAGTTAAACAATTGGCTTGGGAGTGGGGGCTAGAGGAGAAGAAAGAGGGAAGAGGATAGGAAGATTTGGAACAGTTTTATCTATTCGATTTTTATTTGAACTGAGCATATAGATTAAATCTTTTGAACTACTGGTTTTTATGTCCAGGGTAGAAAGGGTGTAAGATGTTGGGGTTTTGCACTAAAAAAAATGGACCCCACACTTAAATAAATATGAAAGGCATGCAGGCCTCGTTTTTTTTTCCTCAGGAAAACTGACCCTCTTTGGAAGGATTTTAATTTCAAGTCTCAAAAAATATTGAGATCACAACATTTCCCATTGACAGAATAGTTTATCACCAAGACCTTACTGGAGATATTTAGCCACCACTGAAATGAAGGAGATTCCAGGGTGGAGGCAGGGAATACCACTTGAGACACAGAACATTTTTGCAAGCCAGAAGAAACAGGATTCTTAGGAAAACGTCTCAACAAAAGTGCGTGGACCACAGGCTTTTGCTTTTAAAACACTTGGTTATGCTGCCTTACCATGTATGCTTAAATGGTGAATTGATGCTACTGAATTTTATAATTCTAACTCCAAACTTAACAGTGATTAGGCAAATGGACCACTTTATATTAGACCTATAATTCAATTTTGGCCTCCTACCCATTGTACCTGAATGAGTTGCTATTCAGTAAATGCAAAATTTGTGCAACGATTCCATATGACTCTATTGCTAAAAATGGAAAAAGCCTATGAAATAATAATTCATATTTCTGTAGTCTTTAAGGTTTACAATAGCTCTATGAGGAAGGTGGCTCAGGTATAATTATTTGCATTTTTCAGATGAGGGACCCGAAGACTTAGAGGAGCCAAGGAGCATATCCAAGTTCCCAAAACTAGCAGGTACTGAAACAAGTTATCTCTGTCTTCAGTACTCCCTTTACTATCAAAGTATGAAAGTAATGAAGGAAAGAAAGGGGGGAGCAGATCTGGTCTAAGATATTTTACAGGTCAATACACTTCAGTGCTGATGTTTTCCTTTTTTGGAACTGAATACATTGGCTGATATTTATCATATAATGTTACTTTTCAAGTTCTAAACCTTGGCAATCATAAGCTAGTCAGCTCTCTTCCATCAATAGCTTGCAATTTCATAATCTATTTAAATTTATGTACAAATGAACATTTAACTTTTTTCTTGTGTATATTTATGCTTATTTAAGCTTTTCATATCTCCAATGCTTTTAAATTATGCGAATGGGACTTTTTACATATGTGCCTGATAGCTCATGATATGTTATATACCCTTAAAGATGATGTTTGTAACAAATGGCATATATAGTACATAGCAAAAACACTTTAAGACAATTTATCACTAAGTAGACATTTTTTCCCAAACTATATCAAGAGTGCATTTCTAAAAGAAAGTATTTAAATAAGCTAATATATTACTGGCAATTTGCTTTACAATAAAGAATAATGGAAAAAGTCTCGGAAAAAAATGTGTTTTTTTTTTTAATCACAAAAACTGAGGCTTGCCAAGAACGGACAGGGTAAAACGCAACACATCACATGCATCACAAGTGAGCCTCCTTTACAATTGCCTGTCCAATCCTCTAATCACAAACTATGGAAAGGAGCAAATAATGGCAATTGTATTGCCAACATAATATAAATAGAATGCTTACTAGTTGGCAATCTTCTCCCCCCACTTTTTTTCTATTTCTAGTAGGACAGATCTGAGTTCAGCCTTTACACTCATTGCTGTACTTCTAAAGAAATATCTTTATAGTATTTATATATGATGGTTATTGAGTCACAATGATGCAATTTATTAAAAGGTACAAATCACAAAAGATCAACATAGCAAGTGATTACTGTAGATGAGGAATACTCCTCAAGATGCCCAATTTATTTTGAGTGGCTTACTTTGCTTTTTCCAGGGAACAGGGTAGACATGTGTTGCTAAAGCTTAATTAGAATGAAATAGTCTGGTACTATGAATTCCTCAGGGCCACCTATATTTTGGTTGGGCTTCCATTGGCTTGTTGCTGTTCTGAGGAAGTACTAACATTCCATAAATGTGACAGGGAGGGCTGCAATCACGTTTGCTTGGAATCAGCGTGTGCAAAGTTTGGAATCAAATCTTCAGATGAGGTTTACAAAGCTGCTTGCCCAGAACACTCTGGTTTTAAAAAATGTGCATTGCTATTAATATTTTCAGTGCAGATTTTTTTTGGACAGTAAATGTTCATTTTCTGCCTGTAAAACTAAGTATGAGTCACAACAGAACATGTACTGTGAGTCCAAAATGCAGGCACTATGCAGTGGTGACCAGCTTCCTCTGCAGCATCTATCTTATCAGTTTGATGGTGGAATGTTACTCTAACTACTCCTCCCCCACTCCCCATAAAAAAGTCATCAGTTTTTCATCTGCACAAGTATACCTGAGATCAAAAGGCAGAATCCTTAATTCATAAATACTACCATTAACTTGTATCTATGAATGATTTGCAGTCATGTTTTTATGGGTGATCATCAGAGCTAACTGCACAGTGAATAGCTAGTTTCCTTTTTAACCTGCTTTCTCAATACATGTGCACAGGGAGGGGGGATCATAAAAAAAGCAGAGAAATGACTTTCACAAGCCACAGTGAGTAAAACTCTGGTCAGAACACTACAGTGTATTACCGTTGAGTTCAGAGCGACTGCTATCCAAATTCCAAGCGTGCAAACCATCATTTATACAGTCTATAGCTCACAAGTTTATGCTGTGTTTCCTAAGTTAATCTCATGATATTTTTCTGTACCTGTAACCCATTACAACAAGTCTCCAAGATTTCATTTCACTCAGGAAGGTGAAATTATTGAGGGACTTTTTTTTTTTTAAATCAGTGAGACAGCAAACTTACCTGGCACTTTAAGATGAAAACCTAACGTGCATGCAGCCACATACAACAACAACATCATAACACAACACAACAACATAAGGCAAAGTATATGGTAAGATTTAAGTATTGAAATGAAAAAGACATTTACCAGGAGTAGAAAAGCCAGGAAGAGGAGCGTTGTCACGCCAGGAGTTGCCCAACGGCAGCGTTCCATGCTTGGATCCTTGCCGGAATGTGAATCGGACACTGAATAAGCTGCTAAGTGCTCCTCTGCCTCCTGTCACATCCAGTACTGGTGCTAACACTTCAGTCCTGCCTATCAGCTTCCATCAGCCCTGCTCACATTTCCTGACCAAGTGGTGGGTGGGTGGATGGGTGGGGGGTAAGCTGAATGGAATCTCTCTCGGAGCAGGCAGCCAGCCAATCAGGCTTCTGCTAATCAGACATGCAGAATAACAAAGCCAGGGGTACAGAGAAAGTATAACAGAGAGAAAGAGAGAGAAAAAAGGGGGAAAAGGAAGAAAAAAGAAAGAAGAGAGAAAGCAGCAAATAAAGAAAAGAAGAGCAAAAGATGAAGAATTCCAAAGAAGAAGCAAAGCTCTGGGCTTTTAAAACTAACCTGGATAGTTCTATGGGAGGTATATTTCTATTTGCCTTTTGTTTGTATTTATTCCTGTCATTTGGTAAAGTACAGTAGCTCTTTTTGTGACTGTGTACCGTTCCATTCAGGAGAGAAACTTAATCCCTGTCAATATATAACATGCCATAAAGGGAAAGAATCATAGACAAAAGCCTACTCTTAACATGCTCTTTAAACGTATTCTATGCAACTTTTATTTCTCCTCTATAAAGTTGCTCCTTTTTTTTTCTTTTTGGATGTGGAAAAAGCAGACTGCATGTGATTTAGAACCCACTCCCCCTCCCCCAACTTAAATGCCTGGTAAATGTATGATAATTATTTCAGCTACAGAAGATGGCAGAGTTGTCTTTTTGTATAAACCACAAAAAAAAAAAAATCAACGTGATTTTATGGATTTTCAAGGGAGAGACAGAAATCCAGATTGCTCACTTTCCAAAGAGCACCTAACAAAGAGGACAAGTTCACTCTAATTTGGGTTTGAGTGATTGCTTTGACAAGTCAACTTTAGGATTGTCTGTGTTAGTATGGGGCAGGGGAAATGACATTAAATCCAGAGAGAACCCCAAAGTTTCACTTTAACTAGAGCCTCCTGCCCAATGGAATCTGTTAGGAGAGCTACTCTGCATAACCTAATGGGCAATAGAAGTTTTACCTCCTTTCCCTTTGCCTGTTGAAGTTGGATAAGAGAGGAGAAAGGGGGAGAGGAGAGGAAGGAGAAGAGGAGAGGGGAGGGAAGGTGAAGTAAGGGGGGAAGGAAGTGGGGATGTTAGGATATCAGAAGGGAGGGAAAGAGGAGGAGAAGAAGGGAGAAAAAAGGAGGGGAGGGATGATGTTAAGAGAAGAAGAAGAGGAGAAGGGAGAGAGGGAGAGGAGAGGGAAGGGAAGAAAGTGAACAGGAGCAGATGAGGGGAGGGGAGAGAATAAAAGAGAGAAAAAAGGAGATATTAAGAGGAGGAAAAGACAGAGAAGAGAGAAAGGGAGAGGGGGAAATGAGGGGAAAAGAAGAGAGAGGAGGGGAGGAGAGGAGAGAAGGGAGAAAAGGAGAGGGGAAGAAAGGAAAGGAGAGGAAAGGAGGGGAGGTAAGAAGGGAGGAGAGGAGAAATGAAGAGAGGAGAGGAGTTATTAGGAGAAAGAGAAGAAGACAGAGAAGAAGACGGGAGAGAAAGAGAAGAAAAAAGAGGAGAAAGGAGAGGAGGGGAGCAGGGAGGAGAATGGAGAAGACAAAGGAAATGAGGAAAGGAGAGGAGAAGGAAAGAGAAGATAGGGGAGAAGAGGAGAGGAACAGGGCAGATGTCAGGAAGAGAAGAGGAGGGAGAGAAAGAAGGGGAGGGGAGGAGAAAAGGAAAGAAGAGAGGAGAAGAAGGGGAAGAGAGGAATAGAGAAGGGAGGAGAGGAGACCTGGGAAGGAGAAAGGAGAGGAGACAAGAAAGAGGTACAGGAGAAAAAGAGGCAGCAAAGTGAGACAGAGAAATAGGAGGCAAAGACATACACAGAGACAGAGAGACAGTGACAGGGACTGGAAGGTGCCTTTCAACTGTGCAATTCTATGACAGGATGGTCATATTTGAGTGGAATTGATGATGAGCTGTGAAATGATGAAGTGGACCATGGATCTGGGAGGTAGTCAAGAAGTCTGAGTCTGCCCAGATAATCCCCAAATCAGAAAATGAGACCCTAAATAAACAAAAGTTTATTGAATGAAATAAATATTTTGTTAATCATTTGTGAAAGTGTTAAGTGCCAAACTTAAGACTTATTTTACCTTCTCTCCCATACACATGTGAAGTAAATAATTTAATATACATCTACTATATACTTCCCTAATGAGATGCTTCGAAGAGTGATTTCTATTGCAGAACCTTGAATAGCCCAACAAAGTATACACAATGCTTACCATGGGTTAAGAATGATTTTCCACAAACCTCTTTCCCCCTCTTCTTTTTCTTCTTTCAGTGAGGGAACATGAGGAATACTTGGTGGTGCTATCACAGGCATGTGAATACAAGCAGGTTTGCATACATATATGCCTGCAGTGTTGCATGTTAAAAAGGTGGGGAAAAGCAGGTTGTTCAACCTCAGGTTACTTATTGCATATGGTATATCAATTAGAGATGGATAAGCTGTTAAAATCCTATTTCCAACTTGTTAGGAAACTTGAGGCATACAAAGGCATCACTTGGATTTTCTTGATCAAACATGTAGACTTGGAAAAAAAAACTGATAACACAAACCAAACACAGAGAGATGCTTGATTCTATATACTTTTTGGTTTTGGAACTATTTCCTTTGCATATCTTTCAAAAACTACCTAATACTGGCAAATCAGAGAAGATGATTAGATTTAAACTCTTGACTGATATTACTTGAAATTCTTATTACACTAAAAACAGTCGTGCCATGAACTATTATCACTCATAATACTGTATATTGTCTAACTATATTTTATACCTTAAAACTTTTGCTTTTAGTTTTGTGCCCATTCTTAGAACAGTTTTAAGAACTACTTCTTAAAAATCAGAAGATTTTTTTTAGAGTCCAGAATTTAGTGGGAATATTTATATATAGCCTTCCAGTTCTATGCTTGGCACTGGGAATACCAAGATAAAAATTAAGGTACTGCTGTCCTCAAGGAGTTTTCTTTTTTTAATTAATTTTTTTTTTTTTTAGGCAATTGGGGTTAAGTGACTTGCCCAGGGTCACACAGCTAGTAAGTGTCAAGTGTTTGGTCTGAGCCCGGATTTGAACTCAGGTCCTCCCGACTTCAGGGCCGGTGCTCTATTCACTGCGCCACCTAGCTGCCCCTCCTCAAGGAGTTTTCATTCTCCTCCATAGTTAGTTTCTGCCAGTAACACCAAATATGAGTCCCAACAGAAGATTTGAATCCAAAATGCAAGCACGATGCAGTGGTGATCTGTTAGCCTCTAGCACATCTCTCTTCAATCAATCAATCAGTTTGATGGTGGAATGTTACTCTAACTATCCCCCTCCCCCATAAAAAGTATTCATGTTTTTCATCTGCAGAAGTAGCACTGAGATCAAAAGGCAGAACACAAGGAAAGGTCACTTCAAGATGCACGATTTCTCATGATAGAAAGACATTCCAGGTGTGGAATCGAGAAATGCAGCAATCTTTGGAGCGTAGCAGAAGTCTACCACTCAATGTAACTTCTTGAGGGATTTACAGCGAGAAAAGTTCTTTTAGTGCAAGACTTGTGAATTATCACTTTGCCACACATGTTCTCTACATGTGTGCCTCACACTCCATTGGACTCTTAGTTTAAGCTCACCCTTTCTATGGATGTTGTTTATAAGGAAAAGCATGACCCAGTTTTTTAGGGGATCATTTTCTACTAACTGTTCATACTAAACCATCGAGTAAAGACTTCTTCAAAAAGCTAATTACATGCAAATGTGGTAGAATTACAAAGAACAAACTTAACCCCAAAGAAGAGATATGAAAAGAGGCCTCCCCTTGCTCCTTTGCATGGTGGGGAAAGGGGATTAGTTCTCAGGTATGGATCACTGTAATTAATATCAGATTGTTTTGAAGTATTGATTGGCTTTGTTGAACACATTTTTTCTTTCTAAAATTCTTCGTTACAAGGGATGCACCTCTGAAAGGCAGAAGTGGAGGTACAAATGAGTAAATCTAGGTGTTGCAAAAAGAAAAATAAAAATGGTTATAAAAAAGCTAATTAAATCAGCTTGTCTGCTTGTTAATGATGAACATAATAGCATGGGAACAGAAATGACAGTACTTGAACTATAGCTTATCAGGGTACTTCTAGACCCCTGATTAGCAAATTGTCAGTGCCCTATTGGAAACCCCAAACTTTGAGTGTGAGTGCACATTGGGTAAGTGGTCCCCTATGGAAGAATACAGAAGGAGAAAAAGAAGTGGCCCAGTAGGTAGAAAAAGAGCCAAGAAATACCATTATCCCAGAAAACAAAGGAGGAGGCCATCAGAAACCACAAATGAGTTGTATAGAATAACAATTGAGGAGAAAAGCCCTTAAATTCAACATATCCACAATCACTGGAAACTTGAAGAGAATAGTTTGAATTGAGATGTACACTCAGGTAACAGACTAGAAGAAGGTGAGAAGGTGGAGGTAGGAAATTGAAGGAATGAGTATAGTTGGTTTTTGGTTGTGAAAGAGAAAAGGGTTATAGGATGATAGATTGGGGACATGGAAGGGTCAAATTGAGGGTTTAAAAATAATGTAAACTTGGATATGTTTGTAGGCAGCAGAGAAGTCACCAGTGGATAAGGAAAGATAAAAATAAAGGAAAGAGATAGGATGATCTACCAGGCAAGTTCCCAAAGGATATAAGAAAGGATAGAATGAAGGGCATCAAAAGAAGAGTTGTTGTTGTCAAGGAGAAGAGAACAAAGTGTTTAAAGGCAGAGTGAAAATGTATAGTTGAACTGGTCAACTATAAAGTCAAGACTGAAGGGGATGAAAGTGAATCTAGGGGATACTTGACAGACTGAGGCAACAGTGGGAGATAGGGGTACTGTAGGTGACAGGGAGGACAAAAAATCAGTTTAGAATAAATGAGGCAGAGAGAAA